AGCCGGTGAGATTAGAACCGCTGAACTGCAGATAACAGTCAGCTGAAGTGGCCTGCAGTACTGCACCCTAACCACTGCGCCACCTCAGCTCGGAACTGCTTGATTGGCAGAAACTGGGACAAGTGATGGGAGCTCACTCGGTTATGCGGCACTAGGGACTCGAAACGCCATGAATTGAAAAGCAAAAGAGGAGGGGGGAAATGATTTGCTCCTATTCCAGAGGCGAATACAAAACCTTAACTGAGATAAAATTAAATTATCCAAACCCGGATGAGAGTCTCGTTTGCTAATTTCTTTTTTTCTTTTTTCCCCCAACCGCAATCTCTTGTTAGGAAACTCCCTTTGTTGTTTTCGGAAGTTCCCCAGCTCCCTCTCTACCCAACGCTTGCTCTCATTTTGCTCTTCAGCTATTTCTTTTTCTCACTAAGGGTAAGTCCTCGACTTACGACAATTGAGCCCAACGTTTCTGTTCTTAAGGGACACATTTGCGAAATCAGCTTTGCTCGGTTTTATGACCTTGCCTTGCCCCCGTTATTAAGTGAATCATTGCAACTGATAAAGTTAGCAACAAGGTTGGTGAGGGTTTTTTTTTCTTTTTCTTTTTAGATTTTTTAATACAAATTATACATATTATAGGGACGAAACGTTGTCTGGGTCTTTTATTTCACCTCCCCTCATTCATATAGTCCATTTTACATCAGCCTTGTTTTCACTTTCAGCCAAATTATTACTCTTCCATTATTTTTCATCTTTATGGTTATTTTTTTCTTACTACATAAACAATATCTTCCATCGCCCCTTCGTAGTTTCAGCAAATTTTCATTTCTTATTTTCTCCACTGATATATTTTGCTACAAACAGCGTATAGCCTCAAATTCAATTCAAACCTAGAGAGCATTTCTTTCAATTGTTTCTACATTGAACAATGTACTGTATTAGCAGAGTTGGAAGGGACCTTGGAGGTCTTCTAGTCCAACCCCCTGCCCAGGCAGGAAGCCCTATACTGTTCCAGACAAACGGCTATCCAACATCTTCTTAAAGACTTCCAGTGTTGGAGAATTCACAACTTCTGGAGGCAACTTCTGTTCCGCTGATTAATTGTTCTCCCTGTCAGGAAATTTCTCCTCAGTTCTAAGTTGCTTCTCTCCTTGATTAGTTTCCACCCATTGCTTCTTCTTTTACCCTCAAGTGCCTTGGAGAATCCCTCCCTCCCTTG